CCACAACACACACACACACACACACAAACCATTTATTTTTCAATTAAAAACAACATTAAAAAAATCTCAATCGGCTAATAAACTGACAGCCTACCCAACCAATTATGAAGAATCTACTTTCAACATATCAAGGCACATTGCATACTTGGATTAGAACGTCTACACGCAAAACTTTGAAAGGGATGAACTCCAATCTCGCAATCTTACTCACATAAATAAAAGCTCAGTTCATTTAAATCTTAACCATGCCAATTGAAATACCGCATGACACAATAATTCCTTTCAGCGGACCAAAACTTGCTCACACCTTAATTTAACAACATACAAAACGAAAGATCCATGGCATATTTTTCACACATAAGAATCATATTATTGTATGCCAAGAGGTTCCTGTACAATGAGGCAGACCTGATTAGAGCCGGCCATTCAACATATTTACCTTCTCACTGGACATACACGTATTAGCGACCAAACGAGATACTCATGAACTATACTAGTAAATGACACCATGATCTGTACATTACTAAACATATATACAGTAATTAATTGCAAACGTTGCATCAAATCAAGCACCAAAACCTAATGTTAAAACAGACAATAAAATTTGGGCAATAATACCACACAATCATTCAATCAATACCTCAAAATCACAAATAAAAAAAATAAAAAAACCAAGAGATGGTCGTAAAATTACCTGACTGAACTTGAGCGCGTGCTGTTCGCCGGCGAGCTGGAGATTACCGGAGACGAAAACAAGCATACCGCCGGCAGGACCAGATGGCTGGCAATCAACAGTACTGATCTGATGCTGGCACTGCTGGAACGGCAAACCGGTGAGTTTAGCCACGATGTTTTGAGATCCCATGATTTTCTGGCCCTCGAAAGTCAGCATCGACCCGTCCTGGTACAGGTTAGCAAGCCCGGCCCGATTCGCGTCGAACGTCGAATAGTAGTGCTCCACGAATGCCTTCGCCACAGAGTCTGGATCCATTTCTCTCGTTTGCCGTCGCCTTTGTTTTTTCCCCCTGTGTTTTGCGTTTCTCTCTTATACTTGTCTGAGTCAAAATTGAGCTCTCTCTACGCAGGGCTTATGAATGAATGAATATTGATGAATACTATTTAATATTTATTTCTTTTGTGTGGTTTTTTTCCTGCTGAAGAAATACGCTAATTGATTTGTGGCAGCCTCCCGTTGTGGGACCCACCCCACATGAAATGTTCTCGAAATTCAATTGTTTTATTATTATTTACATATGTTTTAAGCTTAATAGAAATACATAAGATTTAGTAATAGACTGTGCCTCGGCCCAAAACTTAGCAAGACAATTGGGCCCTATGAGTAAACAAAATATCTATATATAGTAAATAAAGCCCATTACACCAAATTCACATTAAAATAAAGCCCAATGGGTACTTATATGCAACGCAAAAGGCCCAAATAGACTTCATGTTCACATCTTAATATTCTCAATTTTTATTAGATCTTCCAGAATAAAAATATATTTAATTAATTGAATTGCCAGCAGCAATAAAAAAAAATATCCCCTTAAATTAGATGTTACATAAAAATTTGAAGAATAAAATTGAGCATTTAGGTAAAGAAATAAAAAAAAAAAATAGAAAAAAGGGAAAATGAAGATAATAGAGAACAAAGAGGTGAGATGAAGTGAAGTGGGTGGTGGTGCAACATCATCAAAACATGATAATTGACACGCCTTTAATTGTTTATGAGCGACAAAGGGAGGACAGCCACGAACATTAAAACTCACAACTTGGAATAATTAATATGTAATTAATTGTTTAGTTGTTTATGCATTTTTCAACATTTATAATTTATTGTCCTTGATTGGCCCACCTTATAATTATTTAAATGAATAATACGTGATCAATGTTAATTATCGAGGATCATAGTCACATTTGAAGTCGTATTAGAGATAAATAATAGTATGTCATTTTCACAAATAACTAAATATAAAACTATATATATATCAGCCACCCCATACCATATGAGGTTCTTGAGACCTAATTAATAATTAATAATAATAGTTTAAAAGGACAAATGATGTACTAATATGATATTATACCTGTATTAACTATTAATCATGATGGAGGCATGGAATATAATAATGATGTAATTAATTTGAATATACATATATGGTATATAGAGATTAGAGAGAGAGATAAGAAGCAGAAAGTATAAGAGATGAGCAGTGAGTAAGCATTCAAAAATGATGACTGAGATGGAAGAAAGGGATAAGGATGGATTTTAATGTTTGTCGGGGAGCTACAAGGCCAAACAACTACTCATATATACATACACACACATACAAAACAGAAGGGCCATTTATTCTTCCAAAATAGTATATTATAAAAAGGCCATTTATTATATTTTTTTTATTATTTTTTTGTATTTTTAGGGGAAGGGCATTTAAAAATGGCTTTTTGGATGGAGGAAGGCCAGGCCATACAATTTATTTTCAAGAATTTCGTTACAACAAATAATCTATTTTAGTGGAAATTAAACTTGATGAAATTGGTACAGAAGTTGGTCGCAGTTTTAGTACGACCCTCAATTCAAATACATGAATGATGATGCTAAAATATAGCTCACCTAGGGTGGTGTAGAAAATGAACTGGGAGAGCAAAGCGGATCAGTAGCTTGACAACTTGATGATCCTGAGGTACCTGCGAAATGAACACACGTGAACTACGCCGGGGGTTGATCCGGCGGAAACCCCTCCGACGCTCAAGTCAGACGTGCTGATAGTGGAAATAGTCCAGAGAATACAGTTGATAGTATTACTCAGTTAATAGGACGTACCTTAATAAAATGAGTAAAACCTCTATTTATATGTCGTTTATTGGGTTGGGTTTGCTTTGTTGGGCCCAAGCCTTACTTGAAGGTGTTTGGGCCTCGGTGATATTGGTCTTCAATATTGGGCTCGTGGCCCAGTAGGTAAATAACTTGTAGGCCCATTGGGTTGGCCCAATTAGGCATATCATTAAGCCCCCCACTCTCGAGTCGATGTGGGGGCCATGTCGAAATGGGTTCTCAATCGTGTCGAGAGTGAAAATTGTAGTGTTTGTTCTTTGGCATATGGCCTGATGGTGTGCGAAAATGCATTGGAGCGTGTGTCGGAGGGGCGTGAATGCGCATTGGCGCGTAGCGCGACTAAGTTGTCGCTATGTAAGTTATTTGAGTCGTCGGTGTTGTCCCGCGACGATGTAGTAGCGAATTGTCTCCTCGTGGGAGTTGTCTCGTCGCGGGGTAATATAGTTGATCGAGTTATCTCCTCGTGGGAGTTGTTTCGCGATAATGTGGTAGCACGGATCAAGTAATCTCCTCGTGGGAGTTGTCTCGTCATGGGATAATAGAGTTGATCGAGTTATCTCCTCGTGGGAGTTGTCTCGTGATAATGTAGTAGCACGGAGCTAGTATTCTCCTCGTGGGAGTTGTTATTTATCGACATTGTCAATGTTTTGACGCGTTGCTTGTATGTGTTTACATATAGCCTTGTGCGTGATGTACTTGAGGAGGGGATCAGGCTCTCAAGAGTTTTTTTTATGGGGATCGTGCCCCTTGTTAGACCTCGTGGGTCGTAAGTATGTTTGGACCGTGGCCACGTTTTAATGAAGGACCCATCGAAAACAAGTAGATAAATTTTGAGTAATCAAGCTGGCCAGGCTATATAGATTCTCATAATATCTCTAAGTGTTTCTAGGGTTGTAATCGTGCTAACTTGAGCTTGCGATTATGTAGTGCATTGCGAGCGAGTTGTCTCTTCAAGAGAGATCTCGCTGCGGGTCATAGGATGGAGCGAGTGGTTTCCTCGTAGGAGTTATCTCGCTGTAGGTTCGTAGATCCGAGGGAGTTGACTCCTCGTGGGAGTTGCCTCGCAATGGGTTATATGACTGAGCAAGTTATCTCCTCGTGGGAGTTGTCTTGTTGCCGGTTGTAGTACCGAGCGAGTTGTCTCCTCGTGGGAGTAATCTCGCTGCGGGGCATAGGATGGAGCGAGTGGTATTCTCATGGGAGTTATCTCGCTGTGGTTTTAAGACCCGAGGGGGTTGGCTTCTCGTAGGAGTTTCCTTGTAAGGGGTTGTAGGACAGAGCGAGTTGTCTCCTCGTGGGAGTTATCTCGCTGTGTGTTGTAGGACAGAGCGAGGTGTCTCCTCGTGGGAGTTGTCTCGCTGTGTGTTGTAGGATAGAGCGAGCTGTCTCCTCGTGGGAGTTATCTCGCAACGGGTTAGAGGACGGAGCGAGTGGTCTCCTCGTGGGAGTTATCTCGCTGTAATTTCGTAGACCCGAGGGAGTTGGCTCCTTGTGGGAGTTGTCTCGCGATAATGTAGTAGCACGGAGCTAGTATTCTCCTCGTGGGAGTTGTCTATGGGGTAATCGAGTTGATCGAGTTACGTCCTCGTGGAAGTTGTCTCACGATAATGTGGTAGCACGGAGCTAGTATTCTCCTCGTGGGAGTTGTTATTTTTCGACATTGTCAATGTTTTGACGCGTTGCTTATATGTGTTTACATATAGCCTTGTGCGTGATGTACTTGAGGAGGGGATCAGGCTCTCAAGGTTTTTATATGGGGATCGTGCCCTTTGTTAGACCTCGTGGGTCGTAAGTATGTTTGGACCGTGGCCACGTTTTAATGGAGGACCCATCGAGAACAAGTAGATAAATTTGAGTAATCAAGCTGGCCAGGCTATATAGATTCTCATAATGTCTCTAAGTGCTTCTAGGGTTATAATCGTGCTAACTTGAGCTAGTGATTATATAGTGAATTCCGGGCGAGTTGTCTCCTCATGGGAGTTGTCTCGCGGTGAGTAATATTTATCAAGTGAGGTGGTTGCACGTGGGAGTTGGCTCCTCGTGGGAGTTATCTCGCTGAGGGTTCGTAGTACCGAGCGAGTTGGCTCCTCGTGGGAGTTGTCTCGCTGCGGGTTCGTAGTACGGAGCGAGTGGTCTCCTCATGGGATTTTCCTCGCAAGGGGTTGTAGATCCGAGCGAGTTGTCTCCTCGTGGGAGTTGTCTCACTGCGGGATGTAGAAAGAGCGAGTTTGCTCCTCATGGGAGTTGTCTCACTGCGGGATGTAGGACAGAGCGAGTTTACTCCTCGTGGGAGTTGTCTCGCTGCTGGTTGTAGGACCGAGTGAGTTTGCTCCTCATGGGAGTTGTCTCACTGCGGGATGTAGGACATAGTGAGTTTGCTCCTCGTGGGAGTTGTCTCGCTGCTGGTTGTAGGACCGAGTGAGTTTGCTCTTCATGGGAGTTGTCTCACTGCGGGTTCGTAGTATCGAGCGAGTTGGCTCCTCATGGGAGTTTCCTTGTAAGAGGTTGTAGGACTGAGCGAGTTGTCTCCTCGTGGGAGTTGTCTCGCTGGGGGTTGTATTACTTAGCGAGTTGGCTCCTCGTGGGAGTTGTCTCGCAAGTCCCCCACTCTCGAGAGGATGTGGGAGCCACGTTGAAAAGTGTACCGGATCTTGTCGAGAGTAGATCGGTGTTGTAGTCTTGCGTTAATCGTTGGCATGGTGTTGAGAAATAATTTTTTATTTTTTTTTATTTGATAGCGAACGCATTTTGGTAGGAGCAAGTTAAAGAGCTCGCGCAATTTGGTGGAGCGCGTTGAAATTCTCGTGCGATTTGGTGAAGCGAATCAAAATCTACGCGCAATTTGGTGGAGGGTAGTTATAGTTGCGCGCGCCCCAAAGCAGGAGAGGAGGCGCGCATTGGGAGAAGCGCGCGCATGGGGTCGCGCGCAATGGGGACGCGCGGCTATTGGGCGGTGCAATTAATGCTCGGAGAGAGAGAGAGAGTGATGGGAGGGTTTGATTTGCTGGGGGCATGGGGAGGCGCGCGGACCAGAAAAAGTAGGAGAGAGAAGGTGGGGCGCGTGCTGTCACGCGCGGAGAGAGAAAATAGAGTAGAGGGCGGGGCGCGTGCTGTGCACGCGCTGAGAGAGGTCAGTGGGCGCGTGACATGCACGCGCGCGTTGGCGCGTGGAAGCCACGCGCATTTTGTTTTTTTTTTTTTTTTTTTTTTTTTTTTTTTTTTTTGAGCCGGGCGCGCGGCTTGGCTCGGCTCGGCTGCTTCCC